CTGAAGTTACGATTTTAGATAATTTTACTACGGTTCTATTTAACAATTTATTTCAGCAATTATTTCATTACTTAATATGTTTTCTAAACGTAGGCAACTACCTATTGTTTTTTTATTTTTGTTTTTTATATAGCTACAGTTTTTCTCATAAGAGCACGTGCTTAGACTTATCGTAAGATAGTTACTCTACTATCTTTCGAGTTATAAATACCTAATTATTTTCTTTATTTTTTCTACCTATATATAAATACGGAGACGCCACAACGTGGAACAGGAACCCACAGACAGGTGTTCGATACCGAGCCAGGCTGTCCGAGAGAACCAACTGCTGCAGGAGTACAATCAGGAATATCCCAGGAAAAGCAGACCTTTGGTAAGTAAAGTTTTTATAATATCATTATTATCGACTATTGTCACCTTTTAAAAACTTTACTTGCCAGAGGGTGGCTTCTCCATACCCGGACCCTGTGGTGGTTATTTTTCTCGTTTGACGGGCTCCTCGACAGATAAGATTTTTTCTAATTTTTCTTTCTCGCCTTATCTGTCGATTATCTTAATTTTTAATAGATCGTAAATTTATTATTAATATTTTTTTTTATAATTTAAATCGTCGTCTCTTCGTATTGCATTTTTTTAGATTTTGTTTTTTAGCACGTGCAAAGTAATATATAATTGTCTGATAGAACCACGGTTTTTTTTCCAATTTTTATTATAAAATCGTACCTATAGTGTGGTAGTGGTCTTGCTATTTTTTTATTAAATTGATTTTACATTTTTTTGAGAGAGAGACAGAGAGAGTTACCTATTTAACTATATTTCTTTATTTTAATTACCTTATGTTTTTAAAATAATTTGGACAATACTCCATTCTAACTTCATTTAAGCTGTCACAGCCAGATTTCATAATTTATTCAATTAAATTAAAATTTTATTAAATTTAATTATTAATATTAAATTTTCAAGTTTGATAGTAGAATTTTGTCTATTATTCATAATTTTTTATTGGTTGGCTTATGGAGAAGACTAACAATTTATTGGTTAAATACCAATTTGTTTTTGATGCCTTTCGGCTTTTGTATTAAAATTGATCAATTTTAATTTTAATTTTAAGAATAATTTTTCTTTTAATTCGCATTAGTAGTAGTAGATTTAATTTAAATATTGTTAAGGTATTGTTAGGGTATAATAAATATACCTTTTTAATTTAAATTTTGATTGACTCTCATTGTACATTATATTGGCAACCACAGACAGTCAACTTGGTACTGTAGAACACTACCACTTAACTGGTGCTTAATCATTGTTTGGAATAGCATACTGCTGTGTATTATCTTTTAGGAAGATACGAGAATTGACCCTCCCCATAAGTAGCTCACGCACTGAGACTGGTGAAGTCTCACGAGCTCTCCAACATTAGCCGGACAATCACGCTACCCACCAGCGGATGAGTGCAGCGAAGAGGGCGAGAGGCCTTTCTCCCAACCAACTGAAGCAGAAGCATATCTAAGTATCCCAGTTAATTACCTATTTTACATTATAATATAGTCAAGACTGTCACAGCCAGCCAATTGTCGTACTATAGTGAGAAATTGTTAAGTAGAATATAAGTAGTATTTTAAAAAAAAATCTTGTTTTATTTAATTCCAAAGCATACTTCTAAATTCATCAACATCCAGAATTTTGTGGGTTATAAACTACATGAAATCACATTTTTTTGCAGAACTACCCATTGTAGTATTTTGGATATAATTCTGTAGACTTGTCATTCGCGTATAGGCGTATGGGATAGTCCTTGTAGATTCTCCTAGCATGCTCAATATCCAGTAGTTCTGATAGTAACTTGCTCACTTGGTGATATTGGCACTGCATGACTGATCGCAAAGTTATTTTCTGTACATCATTTATTCCAGGAGAAGAAGTAGCTTCAGACAAGAAAGTTATTATTATTATTTATTATTTACACAATAGAAAGCGGTATAAAAATACCGATGAGTCTACTGTCTTTTTATGTTGCGCGTAATTTTTTCGAGTTTACTGGCCGTAATGCAAATGTACAGAACTCAAGGTATTCATTTCTTGATCAATTTTGTTTTTAAATGAGTTGAGAGTTGGTACTGAAACACTTTCTTCTGACAGCGAGTTCCACGGGTACACTATGCGGTTAGTCAAAAAATTTTTTCGCTGGAGTTTGGACGATCTTTCCTTTTCCAGGCGTCTGCTGTGGCCTCTAAGTTGTGGAGTTTGGCAAGGATGGTATATATTTAATGGGCAAGTGTAGAAACAATTTAGAATTTTGTAAGTCTCTATCAAGTCCCCCCGCAAACGCCTCTGTTTTAATGTGGTGAGATTTAACATCGCAAGACGATCTTCATACTCTAGATCCTTAAGTTCATGGGGCATTTTTGTCACCTTGCGTTGAATTTTCTCGATGAGATCAATATCCTTCTGAAAATAGGGACTCCATATTATTTGACCATATTCTATTTTGGGTCTAATGTAGGACTTGTATATCTTTAAAATAAGATCAATAAGCGGTCTTGAAATGCTCTTTGAATGAAATAAAGAAGAGAATTTGCTTTTTTAGTAATCTTTGAGATATGCACATACCATTTTAGGTTTCCAGTAACTGTAATCCCTAGATCTTCCTGTTGTTCTACATGTCTTAGACTTAATTCATTTAGGGTGTAGGTTTTGTGCGTACAATTCATTCCAATGCTAAGAACAGTGCATTTGTCCTCATTCAGTTTCATTCTCCATTGTTTGGCCCAGGATTGCACCAACTTTAGATCATGCTGAAGATTGACGTAGCTCGTTTCGGGATTTGCATATAACTTTGTATCATCCGCAAAAAATATGATATTCGTTTTTATGCCTCTTGCCAGATCACTGATATACAGGAGGAACAACAGTGGGCCCAACACAGAGCCTTGAGGAACACCGCTGGTCACTTTGTATTTAGTTGAAAGAGATCCGTTTATTCTGACTTGGAAGTAGCGTCGGGTTAGGAAGTTTGATATAAGTTTGAATAAATTCCCTCTTATGCTGTAGTGGTTTAGTTTATAAAGAAGCATCTTGTGGGGTACTTTATCAAATGCCTTTTCAAAGTCAAGATAGATGACGTCTGTTTGTTGGTTTCTATCAAAGGCTGCTGTCCAATCGCTAAGACAAGATGTCATGTTCGTTATTGTGGATCGACCAGGAAGAAATCCATGCTGTGTGCTGGGTAAGACATCTTTTTCCATTAGGTATGGAGTAAGTGTGCGGATGATTACCTTTTCCATGCATTTACAGATGCAGCTAGTTAGACTAATTGGTCGGTAATTACCAGCTAACTGTCTGTCTCCCTTTTTGTGAAGCGGTGTAACGAAAGAAAAAGACCAATTATCTGGAAATTTGCCAGATATTAATAAATCATTAAATAGACATGCTAAAGGTTGTGCGAGGGTATGACAACATTTCTGAAGAAAAACAGTCGGTACACTATCTGGACCCGTCAGTTTTTAATGATTTTATGGCTTCGCTAACGTTGAGCTCTGTAAATTCTATGTTAGTAATCTCTTGCAGAAGCCTTAGAAGATTTATCTCACCTTTAGTGATATTTTCCAGTTTTTCAGTTTGATTCATTTTTCATTTTTACTATGTCAGCAAACGACTGCTTGGATTGAATTGATTTTTCCTTTAGTTCATTTATTTCCGCTTGCAAGTCAGCAACCTTAGCTTTTATCGCAGGTAACTCTCGAACTACAGTTATGCAATCTGTACAGAAATAAGGGAGCACTCTGGATATCATTGACAGCGCCCGTATCTCAGTTGAAGAAAATCCTGCACAATTTCTGCACAATATGACTTTGCACATATCGCATGGATAGCCAAAAAGATCACTTTTAGTTTCTTTAAAAATACAAGCGGCACTACATTTCGAACAAGATCCAGTCATACTTGTTTATATTTTTTGTCCTCTGTTGTAAAAATAACCCGAACGCAGAATTTTATGAGTTGTTTGGAATTCCGTTTCATTGCAAGTTTTTTTATTATTTGGTTGATTTTTTGTTTAGATTTATTTGCAATTTAATATAATATAAATGCACTTTTCCATAAGTAGGCACCGTTATTAAGAACTAAACTTTATTCCAATCAGTTCAAAAAGTAACACCATCTGTTCGACGCGAAAATCGCAAAAAAAATACGCACGGATAATGTCCAATAACAGTCCAAATACCGGAAGTAAACTCGACACGCAGCTATCTCGACGAATATTTTTTACTGACTTGTATCATCTTTTATTACACGAACGCTCCGTTGTCAGGTAAATATCCACCGATCTTTAAATGCCATCGATTTGTAGTTCGAAATTGGTAGTATCCAAAAATTCAACTCTGCCATCACGATGTCCTTTCAATACATAACATCGAGATATATGTATAGGTATAGTCAAAGGACTATACTATATACTTCACTCTTCTGTATAATGTCTGTAATATTTTTGACTGGTTTTGATTATCAGGTCGTACCGAATCTCTTCTGTCTCGTAACAAATTTTGAAAATTTTCCAAATTATTTCATATTCTGACTTTCTCTTGTTGTTTGAACTCTTTTCTAGCCACATGCATACGTCTTTTCTTTGGTCTATCTGCCATCATTAAGTTGTAGTCGAAGTAATTTCTGTCGCCCATACAAATTAAATACATCACTAGAGTAACTGTAATTTTATTAATAATAATACTACATATTTATTTATCCACAAATAATGATCTAATAACATAATTTGGGCATGTTAGATATCTTAAAGAAATACAAACTTATAATAAAAATATGTATAAACTGAGAATACACAAAAATATATTATACATAGACCTGAAAAGCTCAGATCCCACTTCTGAATTGTAAGAGCGAGTAAGAAAAATATAATATAATTTTTTTAATTTATATAGCATAATATATGAATGGTGTTAATATCAATTTAATATTCAAACAACATAAACAAAAGAAGCTAAACTCACCTTAGATGCCGGGACACTTGTGTAATGCTCTCACTCTATGATCACGCAATTTGCAATCTATAAAAATAAAATATACTTGAGCATCACTGGAAAACGCACATGATCACATCACCATAATCGAGTATATAAAATAGTTAAATATTTTAATATTGTTTCGTAGCTAAGCGACAAGGCGTCTGTCCCACGCACAAAAGGGATGGCCACTGTATTGGCTGGGTGGACTGTATATAACTCGAACTCGTTATTTAACAATATTTATTTACTAAACAAATAAACTTTAACTATTTGGTGGCGCACGATAATAGATTCGTAGCCCGCAGCGTGTGTACTCTCTTAAACTTGCCAGAGAACACCCCCGTAATCCTGGTTTTCGACCGCGAGAGGTAAAAATCACACATGTGTTTCTGCCCCCGTGCCCCGCTTTTCCCACTGGTTACGCACTTAACTTACGCACTATCGCGTCGCGAAGGGTGAGAACACTGTTGTCACGTTTACGGCGATGTTGTTGTTAAAAAGAATGTATTTGAAGTATGTTGCCTGAACATGCCCCCGGCCTTGAAAGGGCTCACACTTTCAATCGAACATTGGAAGAGGACAAATTCTGGAGAAACTTTGCTGGATGACACCACCTCCTGTTTGTATTGAAGCAACACGGCTAATGCCGTCTGTTCCTGGATGGGACTTGATAATTCTTCCAAGTTTCCAATGTGTTGGCATACTTTGTTCTCCTTTGACTAGAACCAAAGTACCTTCTTTCAATTGGCCACTGCTTGCTTTCCATTTGTGTTTTTGCTGCATTTCTGATATAAAGTCTCGTTCCCAACGTCTCTAAAATTGTTGAGAAAGTTGTTGAATCAATTGAAATCTGGTTAATCGATTTGTCTTTATGTCTTCTACATTATCATCTGGCACAGCTACTAGTGGTCTGCCTATCAAGAAGTAGGCCGGAGTGAGAGGAAGGAAATCGTTTGGATCGGATGTTAAAGGGCAAAGAGGCCTAGAATTTAGTATACCTTCAATCTGGCACAAAATTGTTAAAAACTCCTCAAAAGTTAACTGCGTATTTCCCAGAACCCGCTTTAAGTGATGCTTGACACTCTTCACACCGGCTTCCCACAGGCCGCCAAAGTGAGGTGAATACGGTGGTATGAAAGACCAATTGATTTGTTCAAGTGCGCTTGCGTTTACTAAATTATTTCGATTTGATTTTAAAAAATTACCTAGTTCTCGATAAGCTCCGACGAACGTGGTACCATTGTCGGATACGATTTTTATTGGTTTGCCAAGCCTGAAAGCAAAACGACGTAATGCTTGAATGAACGAACTAGTTGCTAAACTGGAAATGAGTTCAAGGTGGAGGGCCTTGGTAGAGAAGCAGACAAATAGCCCAACATAGCACTTTTCTACCTTACATCCCCGTCCCCTTTTTATTAAAAACGGCCCTGCATAGTCGATTCCTGTCACATGGAATGGACTAGAAGGTGTAACTCGATCGCGAGGCAAATTGCCCATGATTGGCTTGACAAGTTCGGGATTAAATCTAAAGCATCTTAAACATTTTCGTACCGTTGCTCTGGCTAGATTGCGTCCGCGTATAGGCCAAAATGTTTCTCGTGTAGAACCTAATAATAATTGAGGACCCGCATGAAGCAAACGACAATGCTCATACTCGAAAAGCAATTTAGTAAATTGATGATCTGAATGCAAAACCATGGGATGTTTTTTATCAACTGAAAAATCTGAATGCTTCAATCTACCTCCTACGCGAATTAGGCCATTATGGTCTAGAAAGGGTGTAAGATTGCTTAATTTATTTTTTGGACTGAGAACTTGCTTCTTTGATAACTTCAAAAATTCGTCTGGAAATGATTGCCTTTGTGCAGCTCTAGTAAGACACTTTAATGAAAACTGTAACTCTGGAACCGTAAGAGGACCTACCTTGCGGTCAATACTGGAGCAAAGACAATTATTTTTAAACCTTAGGATGTAGGCAACAATTCTTTGAGGGTTAGACAATTTTGAAAATTTCTCGAAAGGAAACTCGTTAATAATATTGACTGGAAACGAAGAAATCTTCTGAGATTTTAATTCCGGTAGTTGATTTACTTTATACTCGACAGATGGCCATTCGGATGAACTTAGTTTAAGCCACGAGGGACCATACCACCACTTATCAGCATCTAGAATTTGCTTAGGAAGTAACCCTCTCGATACATAATCTGCCGGATTATCTAGTGACTGGACATAACGCCATTCCCTATCCTTAGTAAGGGATTGTATCTCTACTACTCTGTTAGCGATAAAAATTTTTAGTAAGTTGGGAGCCATTTTAATCCAAGCTAATACAATAGTGGAGTCCGACCAAAACACGCAATCATCGAATTTTATGTTCATAGATTGTATTACCTTGTCTGCTAAACGAGCCAGCAATAAAGCGGCACACAACTCAAGCTTTGGAATTGTAAGGGTTTTTACGGGAGCGACCTTGGACTTAGCGCAAAGAAGCCTTACCTCCACCTTTCCGTCGGGATATGTCGTACGTATGTATATACATGCTCCGTAAGCTCGAGTCGATGAGTCTGAAAAACCATGTAATTGGATGCTTGAGGGGCATTTGCCTAAAACTTGGCGTGGAATTTTTAACATGCTTAAACTTGGTAATTCCTCTCGAAACCGATTCCACTGATCGGCTAAATTGCTTGGCAATAAATCGTCCCAAGACAACCTTTCAGACCAAAGACGCTGCATGAACATTTTGGCTACAACAATGCAGGGACTGAGAATACCCAACGGATCGAATATTCTGGCTATTAATGATAGAACCGCCCTTTTCGTACATTTTTTAACGGTAGAAAAATCGTCTATATTGTAAATTAAAACGTCGTCCCGAGAAGACCAGTTTAACCCTAAAAGTTTTAGTTTTCTCATCTGGGGCAAATTCTAGAACTTCGGATGATATATTATGATCACTTATATTTTTGAGAACAGCAGGTTCATTGGAATGCCATTTTCTAAGCTCGAAGCATCCATTTTTTTAAAGTATTTGAAACCTCTCGACAAATATATCCTACTTGCTCGATAGTATCGGCACCCGTGAGCAGGTCATCTACGTAGAAATCATGACGTATGATATTAGCGATATCAGGCCGACTCTCCTCGCATTCATTAGCCAACTCGAAAAGGCAACGAATCGCTAGGAAGCTTGAGCTCGCTTGGCCATAAGTTACCGTATTCAATGAATATGATTTTATATCGTTGTTTGAATTAGGTTCGCGCCAAAGAATTTTTTGTAAGTTTTGCTGACTGGGCTCAACTAATATTTGACGACACATTTTTGCAATGTCCGTCGAAATCACGTAAGCATGCTTTCTGAAACGCAATAGAATGGACATTAGGTCATCTTGCAAGACGGGACCCACTAACTGTATATTATTTAAAGACAAGCCGTTACTTGTTGGTGCGGACGCGTCAAACACGACGCGAAGTTTTGTTGTTGTGCTCGCTTCCCGCAACACACCGTAGTGCGGCATGTAATATTCGATGGTCTCGACACTCGACTGATTTCTATATAATCTGGTCCACAGTCATGTGGTTTAGATCCTCGTACTCTAGCATGAAGTTGACGTATCTATCACGAAGGATTGCATTGTTTTTCAACTTGCGCTCGATAGAAATAAATCGCCTCTCTGCTTGTTCTCGGGACATTCCTAATGTTTCAGCTGGCTGTTTTAGGGGTAAAGTAACGATAAATCTCCCTTCAGAATCGCGACGGGTCGTTTTGGAAAATATTTCTTCGCATTTTATTTCATCAGGTGAAAGCGGTTTTGTAACGCTAGTTTCCTCGATTTCCCAAAATTTCGTGAGAATTTTATTTAGATCTTGATGTATACTACTTAGATGGCATTTAGTAAAATTCTTGTTACCACTTGCGCCAGATTCCCCTACTTACCCCGATATAATACATCCAAGTTTTGTGTCTTGGAGAATCGGTAAATTCTTTCCGCACGACATTTTACTAGTGCCCAAAATATTCCAGAATAAGTCTGCTCCGATAAGCATGTCTATTGACCCAGGTTCTAAAAATTTGGGATCTGCTAATTTTAGATTTCTTGGAATATTCAGAGCATCTGTATTCAAATTTGAGTACCCGGAAATATTAGTAATTTCTGGAATAATAAAGCATGTTGCTTGAGTTTTAAACTTGCCTTGTAGCCGTTACCTATACCTAAAACCGTTAAATTAACCTTATGTCTATCTAAGTTTAATTTTTTACATATGTCTTGTGTTATGAATGATGATTGCGAACCGCAATCTAGCAGAGCACGCGCAGTGTGGTACACGCCAAACTTATCTAATAAATGTACTTGAGCAGTGGAAAGTAAGACACAAATAGGCCATGATGCTTGAAAACCGCTACTTAAAGAGTTAATATGTTCTTCGTTTTCGCTCGTACTATTTGTTGGAGACTCGGTCTTAGGACTGCCGTTTGGTTTTTCTGGATGTAAAAGAGTGTTGTTTGGTTTGAACGAAAGAATAGTAACTGTCACCTTGACCATTTTCGGATTGGAAACCGTAATAATAGGTACTTATGCGCCCACAGATGATTCAAACCAAGCGGAAAAAGATTCTTATTATGCTGCACTCTCAAAAGTCCTCACAGAAATAAAACCGAGCCAGGAAGTCTTAATCATGGGAGACCTTAACGCAAGAATTGGTAAGAAAGGAGATAGTAAAGTGGTTGGAAAACACGGTGAGGACGTCCTTAATGATTCTGGAGAGAGGTTAATTGACTTTTGCGAACTGAATGGTCTACGTATACTTAACGGCTTCTTCCCACAAAAATTAATTCATCGATATACCTGAGAAAGGCCCTCTCTGCAACAAAATCTATAATTGATTATATGATTGCTAAACAAATATCGAAACTCAAATTCAAAGACTGCAGAGTTAAGAGAGGAGCAAATTGTGGATCCGACCACCGTCTGGTCGTTGCAGAATTAGTAGTACCTTTCCAGAGCAGAGCCAAAAGTATAGAATACACAACATCACAAGAACTA